AGAGAAGAGCAACAAGAATGATTAAAGGTTTAGAGAACATGACCTATGAAGCCAGGCTTCATGAACTGGGCTTGTTTAGTTTGGAAAAAAGAAGATTAAGGGGGGACATGATAGCGGCTTTCAAATATCTAAAAGGGTGTCACAAGGAGGAAGGAGAAAATTTGTTCCTCTTGGTTTCTGAGGACAGGACAAGGAGTAATGGGCTTAAAGTGCAGCAGGGGAGGTTTAGATTGGACATTAGGAAAAAATTCCTAACTGTCAGGGTGGTCAAATATTGGAATAAATTGCCAAGGGAGGTGGTGGAATCTCCCTCTCTGGAGATATTTAAGAACAGGTTAGATAGACATCTGTCAGGGATGGTGTAGACAGAGCTTGATCCTGCCTTGAGTTGGTCCTGCCTTGAGGGCAGGGGCTGGACTCGATGACCTCTCGAGGTCCCTTCCAGTCCTATGATTCTATGATTCAATTGTGGCAACAGAATAAAATCTGCCATTAACATCAACATTCACTTCGTCTTCAGTGGCATCAGATCTGCCAGATGACCCATTAACTGCAATAACATCAATGTTATTAGACAAACTAAAGCAAAATCATCCACTTTTTTTAGAAGAATCCATAATAGCTGAAGTCAACATTAGTAGCAAAGATCTTGCCGAAATTGATTCCAAGTATTCAGAAGAGCTTTCATCAGAAGAAGACAATGGTGAATTAGAACGTGCCCCGAAAAGTGGCTTAACCGACCCTGCAAAATGGCCAACTATTCTAACTGACAGTCAGGTTGTTTATTGCTGAACAAGGAACCGTACAAATAAAAAGTTTTAAATTTCCTAGAGATGAACAAAACAGATCTTTTTCAGCAAATCATTACTCAAGATTAAACAATGGAGAAATGATGGAAAGAAGATGGTTAGTTTATTCTTTACTTCAAGATACCGTGTACTGCTTTAGCTGCAAATTGTTTGTGCCAATTCCAATTGCCCTTGTCACTCGCGGTTTCAATGACTGGAAACATTTGGCTAAAAGATTAAAAGAGCATGAAAATGCACAGAATCATTGTGAAGGAATGATTAAATGGACAGATCTACAAAAATGTTTGAAGAATAAAGTAACTATCAATAAGATGACGCAAACATGATAGAAAAAGAGAAACAAAGACTTATTGCAGTTTTCAAACGTATAGTTGAAATAATTATATTTATGGCGAGCCGAAATTTATCATTCAGAGGAAAAGCCGAAAAACTTTTTCAATCCCATAATGGACATTTTTGGGGAATAATTGAATTATTAGCTAAATTCGACCCAGTGATGGCAGAACATGTATACCGTTTTACAGAAAAGGATACTCAAATCATTTTTTGAGTCACTTAATTCAAAATGAATTAATTATATCAATATCTGAAAAAGTTAAGAAACACATAATTGATGAAGTAAAACGGGCAAAATATTATTGGATAATATTAGATTGTACTCCTGACGTCAGGCACCAAGAACAATTATTGATGATAATCTGATTTGTGAATATAGTAAATTAAGATTTTAAAATAGATGAAAAGTTTATCAATTTTTTAGTTGTTGATGATACAACAGGAAGAGGGTTAGCAGAAAGGTTAAAAAATGAACTCCAAGATCTAGGATTAGATTTAAAGGACTGTCGAGGACAAGCTTATGACAATGGGGCTAATATGAAGGGTAAAAATGTAGGAGTGCAGGCTTTAATTTTACAAGAAAATCGAAAAGCCTTCTATGTACCCTGTGCTTGTCACAATTTGAATTTAGTGTTGGGAGATATTGCAAAATCGTCCACGCAAACAGTGACATTTTTCGGGATAATACAAACGATTTACACAATTTTTGCGATGTCAACAGCAAGATGTGATGCATTTAAAAGACATGCTCCTCTACTTTCACCAAAACCACTTTCAGAAACTAGATAGAAGTGCTATATTGAAAGCGTTAAAGAAATTCGATTTCAAACAACTGGATTAGACAATGCTTTAAGTGCACTTTTAAATATGGTAATGGATCACAAAATTAAATGTGAAGTACTTGCTGTCAGAAAGCATCTAAGAACATATGAATTTTTAACCAACCTTGTTATTTGGTTTGATATATTACTTAAAGTAAATACTACCAGCAAAATTCTGCAAAAGACAAACATAGAAATGGATATTGCTTTAAACCATTTAAAGTATCTTGTATGATATTGGGAGGAATACAGATCTTCAGGATTCCAAAGTGCATTAACTACAGCCAAAGAGATGTGTGATGAACTGAACATCAATCCAACATTTCAGGAAAACGTCTAACAAATAAAACGAATAAGTTTTCATACGAGGTAAATGACGAACCTATTGAAAACGCAGAGGAATCATACCGAATAAACTACTTTTTGATAATTGTTGATTCTGCTCTTGTTTCTATGAAGAAACAATTTGAGTTGTACGAAAATCACAAAAACATTTGGTTTTCTACATGATATGAAAAACATCAAAGAAATGGATAAGGACACACTAAAAAAACATTGTATGGATCTTCATGTCAATCTATAAGATGGTGACTCCCATGACATTGAAGGTTTAGATCTTTACGAAAAGTTGCAGAACTTTTGTAGAGTTATTCCAGACAGTTGTATTACAGTTCATGACTGATTGAAAACAATTTGTTCGAACAATATGGAAGACATATATCCTAATATTTATATCACTCTTAGGATACTTCTAACTAGTCCAGTGACAGTAGCTTCGGCAAAGAGAAGTTTCTCTAAATTGAAACTAATAAAGAATTAATTAAGATCTACTATGAGCCAGGAGCATTTTGTATGTCTTTCGATTATATCGAGGAAAACGACCTGTGTAAAGAAATGGACTTTACTGACATAATTGAAGAATGTGATACCAAAAGAGCTAGACAGCTATAATAGACTTAAATACAAATGAAAATGTATAATTATTAATGCAGAATTTTATTTAAGAATGACTTATAATATAATTAAAATAAAAATTTTCCAACTAAATTAAGTTTCTATTGAATTTACCCAATTCACATTTAATATGAAAATAGCCATCAATTTGCGCATTTGACGCCTTTTTTCTATTTTTTCTCCAAAGGGGGGCCCCGCGAAATTGTGCTGCCCTGCGCCCTGCAAAACTCTCATCCGCCCCTGGAGAAAGCCCTCTGTTCTTTTGATTTTTTTTTTTCCTGAAAAAACGCAATTGCAGTGTGGACATAACTCAAGGGTTTTTTCGGAAAAATGGCTGTTTTTCCAAAAAAACTCTGTAGTGTTGACATAGCCAGAGAGAAAGACAGAGTATACTGGTTGGCAAACATTTTCTCTGGCTCCAAATCACTTTTATTGTGCTCTGTGCCCATAATGTAACCGTTCAATGGACACTTTATACTCAAGCACTTAAAGGTTGCTTACACTGCATTCCTCACGATAAGAGTTTAATCACTCTCCAAAGCACAGGGATAGAGACTGAACCAATTAATGAGATGAGAAAGTTAGACTGCCTCAACATAAAAGCAGGTTATATTAACTAACTATACACACATGAAAGAAGAAAAGTAACAAATATCCAGAGTAATTTAAAAAAAAAAAAAAAGATCCTCAAATAACACTCCATCAAAATCCAAGTTAGATTCTATCATAGTCACACTTTTTTGCTTGCATTTTGTGAACATTTGAGTTTTACTACTATGACCTTCTGAGATGCAATCCAGACCAGTGAGGTGCTGTGTCACTCCTGCCCTGCAACCCTGAATATCTCACAATGTTTTGCTGTTGTAACTTCCATCTTGAGTCACTCACAGTCAGCCTGCCAGCATGCAGGTCACATCCTGAGAATCTCCCTAATGGTTCTCAACCTGTGGTCTGCTTGCAACCCAATAGCAAACAGCTATGGCCTATGTGACATCCTCAGGGCCATAAAAGTAGTATATTATATTGTGTGGATATGGCCCATGTAACAGAGCTGCATATGTGACCCACAATTGTAAAGAGATTGAGAGGGTTAGCCATCTCAGTCTGTAACTTTAAAAACAACAAGTAGCCCCATGGCATTGAATAGTCTGACTAACATATATATAAGTTCATGAGCTTTCGTGGGTAAAACCACTTCATCACATGTGTCTCTTCTACTCCTTTAGGGCTGGTTCACCTAGGGGATGACATTTTACTCCTGATGTTACTTCATTAGCTCAAGTACTAGAACTTAAGGCCCTGGTGCTTACCTCTATGTTGCCCTTCCTCTGCAAGATGGCCCTCCCACCGTAGGGAGAGACTCTCTCCCACAGTTCCTGTCTCCTAATGGGGCAAGAATCTGAACCACCTCACTGTGCAGAGGGGTTCTTTGTGGTGCTATTCAGGTGATCCAGTACAGGGGAGGCAAGATGCTTCATGTTCCAGGATTTGGTGCATATACATAAAGACAGCCTATGGCCCAACCTGAGACGACACCAGGCCCACCTGCATCACAGAAGGGTACCTATAGAGTATTTGTAATACAACCTCTGGACTGATCCCTCCCTTAAGTTCACCCTTTGATTCCACTTGGCTACTGAGAGAGGCCACTCCATTACAACCAGCCAACAAGGCAGACCCCATTCACCACCAGCTTGTGAAATCCTTGGAAGTGGAGGTGGTGGTGCAGGACAGAGAAAGTAACCTCTAATGGGGGAAACATAGTACTAAGGTATTGCTCTTGGCCCCTGCTTTCAAGCCCCCACCAGTTAACATTGCACATCCCTAGTCAAAAGTGCTAGGTTCATGCTCAGGGATGGATTGAGTGACCAGACAGCAAGTGTGAAAAACTAGTACGGGATGTGACAGTGCGTTGCCCTGCACTGGCCCTTTAAGGGGCTGAGAGTGGAGTCAGAGGCAAGCCCAGCTGAGGCAGCTAATGAGGGCCCAGGTGGAGGCTACAGAGAGCGACTCCTGGAAGGAGGAAGAGACCAGCCTGCCTGCTGCTCTGGACAGAGGGCAGTAGAGACCTGACTGCCAGGGAAGCAAGAAGCTCCCTGGAAGAGAGCAGGGCTGGGGAGGCTTTTGGGCCTAGCAAAGCCAGGCTACCAGGCCTTAGGGGCTGCGAGAGGCAGCCACGACGGGCGGGGCTGCACGAGGCAGTCATGAAAGGCCGGGCTGCAAGAGGCGGATGCAGTAGGCTGGGGAAACTGGGGCCAGGGAAGCCCCAGGCCGTAAGGCCTGAAGGCAGAGTTGCAAGAGGCAACTTGGTAGGCAGAGGTAGCAGGTCCACACCCTTTGCCAGGGAGGAGTGGCCTGTAGGGATTACAGTCTGCCCGGAGACAGGGGCTAGAGAGGGACTGGCAGTGGGTCACTGAGGCCTGGAGGGTGCAAGGGAACTAGGTGTTCCTGGAGAGAGCTGGGTGTTCCCTGGTAGAATAACTGGGGATCCTAGGGAGTAGGGAAGACCCTGAAGTAGTGAAGGAAGAACAACGACACCCCAGAAGGGGGTGCAGACAAAGACCTGAGTAGGCACTGCCGGAGGGCAGTACCCTGAAGGCAACGCTGTACCGATAGAGGACATGGGGGAAGACCCCAGAGGAAAGGGGCACGTCGGAACAGCCAGCTAATTCCCCAACATCACCTTGCTGAACGCACCACGCTGGTGAGTCAACCCCATTACAAGGGAGTAATAGGTACCAAGGTAAGAAAGAAAGCCCCAAATATCAGAATTTTAGCAGTGTAGAATCTAATCTGTATTATCTAGCAGAATAACAGTATAATTAAATACTTGAGGTATAGATATGCTAAATCATTCAGACCAGCTTATTGCATCTGATTTATGTGTTAATTTTGTCCTTCAGTTTAATGTGTTTTTGTTAGATTTCAATTTTATTTTTATTTTTAAATTATGCTCAAGTTTATTATGCTTCCTATAAAAATATATGCACAAACACAAAACCATCATAATCCACTTCTAAAGAAAATATCAGAAGTTTCTCCTTTATTGTTGAAAGAAGTAAGCCCTTCTGTATGTATCTCAATCTGTGTCTCCAGGGGCAAAGAGAATGCCATATGCTTCCTCACTAAAATAAATCTATTTTAGTATCAACTGTGGCAATGGTGGTGTAACTACACAATGCTGCTTCATGCACAATTATCTTTTAGAAGGCCAGTTAATAAGATTAAGAATAGTCTTCAGCAAATAGTTATACTATACCTAAAAGTATGTATTGTACATAATTTTGTGCTTTGTCAAAATACATGGAAATAAAAATAGAGCAATCAACATAAAGGAGTACTGAGGGGAAAAATAGTTTAAAAAAAGTTGACATCTTAAATCTAATTTACCAGCTACAACTCACTTAATACATCTGATAGTATTTTCCACACAAGTGTAATAGCTGCTAGAAGAAATATTCACAAAAGTGATTTTCACTTTAAAATGAGTGTATACTTCTTTGCCCACCAATAATAAAAAATTAAACAACTCAGTTTTGTCTGGCTTAGATTGTCTCAGGTATACCTGTTGAAAGTTTTGATTTGCTAGCACACTATAGTGTCATAAAACAAAAGAGGAAAAATGTTCACTACAGCATTTCTTACAGTAAGCTTTACTCTTTACTTAGTGGACTCAATAAATTTATTCCACACAATTTCAAATTGTAACCATGTTTGAACAACCAAAACATTCTGTTTGAAGAAGAATTACATACCTGTTTACAAGAACTCACTCAGTAAACCAACATTTTTGCTTATAGGCAGGTATAAGATGGTAAGATATCTTATGTACACAGTAATGCTACGTCTACACTGGCCGCCTATTCCGTAATAGGCATGCTAATGTAGCACTTGGGAAGAGGCAAATGCGCGGGGAATTTAAATATCCCCCGCGGCATTTGCATTTTCATGGCCGCCGCTTTTTTCTGGCTTGTAGATAAGCCGGAGAAAAGCGTCCAGACTGGCGCGATCCTCTGGAATAAAGCCCTATAACAACAGGCGGGAAAAAAGCGGCGGCCATGAAAATGCAAATGCCGCGGGGGATATTTAAATCCCCCGCGCATTTGCCTCTTCCCAAGTGCTACATTAGCATGCCTATTACGGAATAGGCGGCCAGTGTAGACGTAGCCTAATTTTTTTAAGGTGATTATCTAAAGATTCCGTGGGGACATTTTTCTTAATATCTGGCCGTCATTCAAATTTCCCAATTAACATTAAAAAGAAACCATGCATTTATTACTGCTTCTACTTGAACTGAAAGATCTGCAAAAGCCATACTATCGTGAACCACAAAGTGTGGATTATTAAGTTGCTGTAAAACTTGGATTTTACCTGTGATCTTGATGCTATGAAGTATAGATTGGGGATATGTCAAGAGGTACTCCTCTGAAAGTTAGAAACATTGCGCTTTAAATGGCTCTTCCTCATTGGTCCTTACTTTGCACTCCGCTCTGATCCATGCCTCCAAATAGCTACTACCATGTGGCAGCTGTCGGACCCCAAGACGTCGCTTTGGCTGGCAAGCTAAACCAGGCAGATGGAAGTGATAAGAAATGCCTATCACTAGCATACTAAGTATGCTTGACAAACGAGGCAGAGAAGATCGCTTAGAGTAAACGCTGGAAAGGCACTACAACTATGTGTCGTGGAACACACAAGGTTTGACAAGGTACAAGAGGTCAATGACTATTCAGAACAGCTAAAGAAATTCCCAGTCATTTCAACCTTTCATCCCACTGGTCTTCATCTTCAGCAGCTTAGAGTGACAATGCCCCATGCAATGATATTCTCACATAAACCTCACACACAGGCATTCACATATCATTAAGAAGGTCCTGCAGTAATGGGTGATAGTGAAGTGATGTGTCAATGAACAATGGGAGTTAGTTACAAACCTGCATGAAGACAATTTAGGATTCTGGTCATTCACCCTTAAGTTCTAAGCAGCAAGGATGTTTAGCAACACGCCAGAGGGCTGAGCTGCCCTTTTCCTGCATATATTTGAACTCCTATTTCTTTGAAATTGATTTGATGTTTTGCCAAGACATAAAGCCATCACTCTTTTCCTTGAGGATCTTCTTGATTTCATCACCGCCTGCCAAACCAACCCATCTTTGGGTTTTGTCTAGAATTACTTCTGAGGTTTGAAAGACAGCCAATTTGAATATATTCCACTTTTTGAGTTTATTACTGGGTGATGCTGTGACTGTTCTCAAATTACCCAAGACTGAGTAATCTGTTATCCTGAGCCTCTGGTGTGATGGAATCTTGCCTGTGCCTAACACCACGAGCCTTTCAGCCACTTAAATATTCTTTTCTGGCATCAGAGTGGTAGCCATTTTTGTTTGTAACTTTAAAAATGAGTAGTCCTGTGGCACCTTAGAGACTAACAAATACTGTATATGGGGCAAAACTCACTTCCTCTTTTCTGGGCCACACTAACCCTGTCTTCGCCTTGGAGATTTGTAATAGATGCTCTCTTGTCCCTGAGTCCCTTTAAATTGTTCCCCTGTAATTTCCATCCCTTGACACTGGCTGCTCACAGAAATTCCAGATCCCACACATGATTAAGCACTGGAAAAAATTGCTGAAGGAGACTGTACAATCTGTATTATTGGAGATTTTTAAAAGAAGGTTAAACACCTGTCAGGGAGGAACTAGATAATATTTTGTCCTGCCATGAGTTCTGGGAACTGGACTAGATGACATCTTAAGGTCCTTTCCAGGATTTTATATTTGGCCCTCTCTCAGTGCAGGGGGATGGACTAATGGAATATTTGGGGTCCCTTCCAGGCCTACAGTTCTATGATTCTGAGACTTAAATTTTGCTATTGTGTGTGTTAACCTGTTCAGCATTATTTCATTGAGAGGTAAATCACCAGGCAAAAATGGCACATCAGCAAAACTCCTTCTGCCCAAAGACCCTCTAAAATGTCAACTCTCTATACAAAATTACTAAGATCATATGGGAAACTGAGAAATCCCAGGATTTAAAAAATGCAATAATTGCTCCACTGTACAAAAATAAAGGTAACAACTCTTACTGTGTCAACTACCAGAGAGCTTCTGGGTTATCTGTAGGTAGTAAAATCCTTGCTCCTATTTTGCTCTATTAGCTTCTTGAAACAGTATCAGAGAATCTTCTAACAGAGATCTACAGTGATTCTAAACTAATTCTAAGCATGACCAGCACAATTATTGATGCAAGACAGATTCAGGAAAAATCCTCTGAACAAAATGTGGATGCATATATGTTGTCTTTATTGATATAAAAAATTGCCACTGAGCCACAACGGCCTCTGGAAAATTGTAGAAAAGTTTGCCTGTCCCACCACATTTGGCGGCAACAAAGACACAACTGGTCAAGTACTCACTAAGAATGGCCTCTCTAGAGGCTTCTTATATCTAATGAGGCAAAACAAGGGTGCATGCTAGTTCTCTCTACAGCTGTTCCAATTTATATAAAACTTGCAAACTTCAAAAGGACATCTAAGGTACAAAATTGATGCCACACTCGTCAGTCTCTGAAGGCTTAGTGCAAAGACCGAAGTCTGTCAGCAACTCTTACATGAAGCCCTTTTTAAGGATAACGATTGCACTCTACTCAGTCATAACAACAATGACTACAGCTTAACCATAACAGATTCTCAGAGGCAACTGAACAGTTTGGACTCACCATCAGTCTGGAAAAACTGAAGTCCTCTTCCGACCAGCCCAATCAACCACTACAAATGGTAGAAAATTAAGAATGTCAATTACTTTCCATGCCTTGGCATTACCATCTCAAATGATGGTTTCCAAGATCAAAAAAAGACAAAATAGAATATAAAAAGGCAAGCCAGGATTTTGCCACAGGATACTCACTGGAACAACATTAGACTATCAATAAAATGGATGATACACAATGCAGCAGAGACAGCCTCCTCTTTATATGGGGGCCAGTGCCCCAATACAGTTTGGAAACCTCATGCGTTGAAAACCATCAATAATTCTCTGACCATTAACCAGCTTATAAAGCTGGGTAGACAGCACCTTTTCAACAGCATAGTAAACCTGTATGAGAACTGCCCTGATCATTTGATTTCCCCACATCAAATTGGTTGGCTACAGGCCAGTAATATTCTAGGTGGATATTAATAGCAATCTATTTCTCCACAGGTATGGGGCAATGCATATGGCTATACTGTTGCTGCAGCCCTAGAATCAGGTCAGCACAGATCTCAAAAAAAGATACCCTTCTCAATTCTAAAGTTTTCATCACCGCTGGTCATCCCAGGTTTGCACAACAATCCCCTTCCACAAATTCATGGCAATTTCCTAGTCCTAGAAACACCACTGAATGGTAGATAGGTGGATCCAGGAACCGATCCTCTTGTTCCTTCAGGTTGGCCTCTGCCTTTTCTTCTACCTTGTCACCCTGCCACCATTGCAGAATATCCTCCTGCTGTTGCTGTAGAATATTCTCCTGCTCCAATACCATCTGGTGGCATGATGGGCAAAGTCCAGGGCAGAATTCATTCAGCTCAATGATGTATGCATCAAATGATTCCTAATAGTCTTGAACTGAATTATCATTAAGATCACAGTTGTGATTTTTTGACACAGATAGAAGCTAGGCCCTGATTTTGCTTTCTCTATATTGCTGCTCGTTGAAATTTGATTATTCCAAAAAAGAGCCTACTGACACTAGCTGTACTGTGAAGA